GACCAGAAAGGAGCGAGGAGGAGGAGTCTCCCAACCACTACATGCTTCCTGTGTTCACTGTACACCGTAGCTCCCGCTCTGAGCCAGAGCCCGGGACAGTTAAACCCTCTGCTTTATTATTTTTTGTTGAGATAGGATCTTTGCTATGTAGTCTGCGGTGGCCTTGATCTCACTATGTAGCCCATGCTGGCCTGAAACTTACAGCAATCTTCCTGCGACAGCCTCCCAAGTGCTCAGATTACAGGCCTGCACTGCCATTCCCAGCAGTGACAGGAGAAAGGTGGAAGACCAGGGCAAAGCAACAACTAACCTGGTGAGAAACAAATGAACAGAGGTGAGAATTAGCTTGGGGTGGAAAAAAGCCTCAGAACTGCAGAGTGAAACAGAAGGCCTTAGTCAGGGCTGCAGAGGATACCATGGGTCCAGCCCCAGGCTGCAGGGTCCTAGCGCGGCCAGGAACCCCTGGGAGCCTTGCTCCTGCAGGAAAGGACACAGCCTCGTGAGGAGGGAATGGGCGGCAGGCAAGGCCCGGGCATCCCCTGCTCACACAAGGCTTCTGCTGGCCATGCCTTCCATTTTCAAGATCTTGTCTGCTTGCTCTGGTTCAGCTCCTACATCTCCGAGCTGTCTTCCTACTTAGGAAAACTGAAACCACTGACCGTCAAGCTCCCTCGGGCATGACTTCCCAGCACCCAACCCGGGTGTTAGCAGCGGCACTGTTCTCAGAGAGTGTCTAGCTCGGCACTGCTGCCGTAGCCCTCAACAGACACAGGACAGAGTGCCATGAAGAAGAGAGAAGACGAAACACAAAATCCCTAGCACCAGGACACCTGAAAACATCTGTTTACTGACACTGGATGCCCCGAGGACTCTGACCACTGAGGCACTGAAGAACTTTGACCTCTTCCTCTGGGATCCCCACTGATCTCCCCACTTTGACCCCTATAAAAAGGCTCTGTTAGTCCCTGTACCCTGCAGATGGTCTTTTTGCCCTCTGGAATCCTTGTACTCAGGCACCATACCTTCCAGGCCATGTTATCTTTACATAGACCTGCTGGTCTCTGCTAGTCAGTGCCTCATCCTGTTCCTTACAAGGACATCTTGAAATCACTTCTATGGGGCAGTGTGTGTGACATGGGAGTTTTTTTCTCTAGAACAGAACACAATGGTTTGGTGTCTTCTCCGTGGTACAATGAACACATTCTCGATGACTCTGGTCGTATTTTTCACTTTGGGGGCTGGGAGTGTTGGTCAGGGGTGGAAGGCTTGTCTAGCACATGTGATGCTCTAGGTTTGACTCTCAACACTGGGAAAAAAAAGAGAAAAAGAAAAAAAAGAAATTCACCTTTTTCCTCTGTGAAATAGGAAAATGTTACCTGCAAGGCACAGGAGACACAGGTGTGAAACTACAGAAGAAGAAAGGAAGCCCTGGCCCCAGTTCCTCTGGGCTCCTGCATTCTAAACGGTGGGATTCTTTCATTGTGTCTAGGTTTTGGAGGGGGCACATCACAGCCTGTCAGAGACACATCCAGCCTGGGGACACTGATTCAGCCCGTGCTGTCGAAGAGTTCCATGTTAGCGAGACAGTAAAAGGGTGCTGGATGTATGCAGCCAGTGTGTTATTCTTCTAAACACCTTCCACCCATTCCTCAGCTCTGCAAGCCTCTCCAGGCCCTCAGGCAGGCATCTGGGAATGGCTTTGCAATGATTTACAGCAATGTCATTTTTCTCCTGCCCGCTTTCGGAACAATGCTGGGAGAGGCTGGCTGTCATAACGTGTGGGCAGATGATTCCTGATGACAGCCCGAGAGGACTTCCAGCTTGGTGAGGCTGGGAAATAAACATACACACTCTGCCTTCCCTCTCCCTCCAGCCACTTCTTCCACCCCACAGAACACGGTTCCCCCAGCTTGCAGCTCTTCCAACCTTTTGAGTTGTTGCCCAGAGGAGGTTGACTGGATCTAATGAAAGCTGAATAGAAGCAAATTATTTGGTAATCTCCTGAACGCACTATCACTCGATGACAGTGCTGGCCTAGAATGCCAGCTGTCTGGTGACCTGTGAACACCCATGAGGCTTCTGTGGAAATCCCAGCTCTCGGAGGCTGCAAAGCGGCACCCTAAGACCTTCAGGGGTTCAGGTGGCCTTGAGCCTCTCCTAGCCCCACTTGAAAAATAACCAATAACCACTTGTAAAATTAGAGAGATAAAAAAGTTTTAAAAGTTCTTTCTGATGGGCTGGGGATGAGGTTGTGTTGACTACCTTCCTGGCATGCAAGGGGCCCTGGTTTCAGCCCTGAATATATAGTGGTGGTGGTGGAGGAATTCACTGCTGAAAATGCTGAAGAAATAATGACTGTTTCTCTTGTTGTATGGCACTGGGGATTGGACCCAGGCCTTCACAGTGAGCTACATTCTCAGCCCTTTGAATTTTTCTTTTCTTTTGCTTTTAAGATAGCCCTTAGGTTCTTTCTCTTTATTTCTTCTCCTTCTCCTTTCTCCTCCTCCTCCTCTTTCTTCTTCTTTAGACAGTCCCTGTAAGTCACTAAATTGTCCAGACTGGGCTCAACCTTGTGATCTTCCTGCCTTCGCCTCCCAGACTGCTGGGATTACTGGCCTGTGTTCCAGCACCTAGCTTGGTCTCAACGCAGTGGGAAGCCATCCGAGGACTTTTGGCAGGGAAAGTACATGCTCTACTTTATGCATGTTTAAAAAACTGACCGTGGGCCAAGTGGGGGGGGGGTGGACGGACACACGACACTGAAATTCTAGTAGTGAAGATGAGCACCTGTATCTGCCTGGTGCTGGGGAACTTGAAGCAGATAGATTTGAGAAATGTTGGAGGTAAAGCAGGACAGCTGTGAGAGCAGGGCAAGAGAAAACTTCCTTGAAACTCTGCTAAGTGGGATGAGGGGTAACTAATGACCCAGTTTTCTGGTTCCAAAGGTGAAGACTGAGACCTCTCTGTGCTTTAGTAAGCTTATCCCACTGGGTCCCACATTTAAAAATTTGTTCTTTTGTTCCGCAGCTCCCTGTGCCAAGCTCACTGTGGGCTCAGGACTGAGCCTGGAATATCAGCAAACCACGCAGAAGCAAGCCTGACCCCCACAGAGCTTGTGTCTACCAGACAGGGGATCAGTGTGAATGAGCTAATTAGTAAGTAGGAGGTGATTCATGCTTCAGAAAAAAGAGAAATGCTAGCAGGATAGGTGGAATAGGGAGGCCCCTGTAAAGGGGAGAGAGGCTGTGGATTAACTAGGGTACAGGCAGGCCTCAGGGAGTGGGTAGCATTTGGAAAACAGAAAAAGATTCTAAACTGGGTGTGGCAGCACACACTTGTAAGCTCAGCACTTTGGGAGGCTGAGGCAGGTGTATTAAAACTTCAAGCCCAAGGGGCTGGGGATTTAGCTCAGTGGCATAAGCGCCTGCCTTGCAAGCAGGCAGTCGCCAGTTCAATCCCTGGTACCGATGAAAAGGAAAAAGACGATGACAACAACAAAAAACTTCAAGCCCAACCTGAACTGGTCTCAAAATTATTTTAAAAAAGGGGGACGTTGGCTGGAGATGGAGCTCAGCCTCAAGGCATTGGGTTCAGCCCCCTGTACTACATAATAAAATCAATGAATAAAAAAACGAAGTGCGCTTTAAACATTTTAAATGTGGCACCATTATTTTTAGGTGTTTGTCTTCACTTGCCCTTGCGTGCAGGGCACCTTCCTGCCTGTCTGGTCTTCCCATCAGCATGAGTTTCCCCAGCCGCCCCTTTCTCTGGGAACTTCTCTTGCCGCCAGCAGCTTCTCATTCTTGTTAGTGCCTACAAATCTTTTCTGTCTTTCTGCACCGAATGTCAGCCAAGAAACAGAATTAAAAAATGATCACAGCTTATCCTGAGGCAGTGCTCGGTGCTCTGAGCCATGACTTCGTTTGGGTAGGAGAACAAGGAGGGGAGAAGCAGGAATTTTCAAGTCCTGAGCCGACTTCTGCCCTGGTAATTTCCCTGAACCTCCTCTATTTTCTTCTTTCGCCTTAGGATTTTTATTTTTTCTGGCCCCATACAGAAAAGGAGCGACCAAGCCAACTGGCAGATTATTAACTCCATAGAAGTCACTGTAAACTAAAGCCGGTGTGCTCTTTCTGCCAGGCTCAGACTGGACAAGAGCCCTGAGGCTCTGATCCTCCCTAGGGTGGCCTTGGTGACCTGTGCTGCTCCACAAGACGCCTGTGTCTGCAGCAGGGTTTAAGGTGAGAATGCCAGTGTCAGCAGATGCGCGCCACTCCTCAAATGCACACACGCGTGCACGTTAAACTGACAAGCTCTGCAGCTTTCCCAGTCTCTGTGTCACCCTAACCTTTAACCCGGCACACAGCGCTGTTCTCAAATGACATGTTTAGGGCCCTTGCATGTGCAAAGCTTGCTATGGATGCACCCGGTGCCGCTGGTGTGTTAGCAACTAAAAATGATGCGAGGCAGAGAACCCCAGGCCACTATGCTAAGTAAGATCAGCCAGGACAGTCACCGGGCCCCACGCACAGGAGATCCTAGAGTCCTCGTCCAACTCTGGAGAAAGTGGCGGATGGTGGCTGCCAGGGCCTGGGGACGGGAGACGGGGAGCTGGCACTGCTGAACAGGCAGAGTTTCCGCGTGGGAAGGGGGCGCTGGGCCGCCCTCCGCTCTGCACGTCGTGCCCGGGAGCACGGGGAGCACGTGTCGGTGCTCGGAGACTGGCTCTTTCGGGAACGCCAGCACGAGCTCTGCCCAGCGGCGTGCGTGGCTGGGGTGGGGGTCGAAGGGCCGGACCCAGCGGGACCGGGCGGGGGCGCAGGCGTCCCTCCCCGCCCCCCGCGGCGCTCGCTCACGCTCAGCCTGGCCTCCAGATGGTGCAATCCGCCGTGCGCCTTGCGCGGGTCCGGAACAGGGGGCGGAACCCTAAAGCTGGGAGGAGCGAGCCCGCCCATTCTCGGACCCGGCCAATGGGGACGCGGGCCCTGTCGCGAGAGCCAATCAGCAAGGGGCCTGCGCCAGCCGGTACGCGGGAATAGGACGGGCCGCGGCAGACTCGCGCCGGAGCCGGAGACGCGGTCCATCCAAGTGCCGCACCATGGACGCCCCAAAACAAGTGATCAACTTCGGGCCCGGGCCTGCCAAGCTGCCCCGCTCGGTAAGGCGCAGCCCTCGCGCGTGGGCTGGCGGGGAACGCGGCGTGCATTGCTGAAGGACGCGCGCGTGTGCGACTGCCCGTGGGAAGGGTGGGAAGGGGGTGGGCGTTCGGTCCCGGGCCCCGGCGATGGGCTCTGCGGGCCAGGCGAGGCCTGCTGTACGAGGCCCGAGCGTGATGGCCCCCGGGCCCGCGTGGACATCGCGCGGGCAGCCGCCGCTGCACGTGGGCGGGAGGCCCGCGCCGCTCTGTGACACGAGTGGCCGGCTCTGCGGGGCCTGTGGGGCCGGGGTCCGTGCTAATTTGTTGGCGGCAGGGTCGTTTGTTTCGGGGGCGGCCCACGTGGGCACGGAGTCCTTGAGCCCTGCAGCTGTGCTTCGGCGATCTTCACGCGTGCGTCGCCAGTGTGATTGGTCACGGAGTTGATTACCTTGGCAGCTGGCAGCAGTGATACAGTGATTATTTGTTTGTCTCAGGAGGATTTTTGCCCTCTGTTGCCCTGTAACCTGGGAGTGAAAAATACTTTTTACCAAATGGTGAAGAACATGGACTAATTATAATGAAAATGAAAGTCTTGGAAAATACTTAGCCTGTTGACCTGTGAGATGCTGTGTAGTATTGTGTGCTGCTCTAAGTTTATGAAATAGGTTAGTTGTAAATGATAAAAACAGTTGAGTTCTGCGGTTTGAAAAATAAATACTGGATTATAAAGGATGTGTTTTTTTGACTACAGGGATTTAAAAAAACTTTATATTGATTTTGATTATAAACTTTTATAGACATATTTTTCTTCTTTATTTCTTTCGTTCATTCGTTCTTTTCCTTTGAGACAGAAATGTTTCGCCATGTAGTTTAGGCCAGCCTTGAACTCACTGTGTAGCCCAGGCTGGCCTCAAACTCACAGTGATCCTTTTGCCTCAGCTTGCCTACTGCTGGGATTACAGGCCTCTGCCACCACACTGGGCTAGATACATTTTTCAAGAAATGTTGCTATAGGGGTTGGGGATTTAGCTCTGCGGCATAAACACCTGCCTTGCAAGCAGGCAGTCGTGAGTTCGATCCCCATACCGATAAAAAGGAAAAGGACAGAAAAAAAAGAAATGCTGCTATAAGAAAAATAAGTACTAAAACGGATTCTAAGAGGATTCTTGGTAGCTCAGTGGTGGAATGGGCCTGCTTAGCATGTGCAGAGCAAGACCTTAAAGTCCTAGCAACAGTGAAGGAGATTCTGTTATAGGTAAATACTTAGCTTCACTGGGTGGAAGGCTTCACTAAAGTTTATTTTTGAGTCGACATGTGATAATTATGCAGTACATATTTTATAGGGTACTGTAAGGTTTCAATGCATGCATACAGCACACATACCACATATACCGATTAGATCAGGGTATTGATCAGCTAGTGTGAATAGGCACCAACACCGAACTCTGTTCTAGAACCCTGTCAGAGCACCTCTTTCTTATTGTTAAAATATTATGTTCTAGACAAGTTACAGTTCAGTATAGATTTTAGCGATGCTTCATTAGCTAGATTTTTTTTTTTTTTTTTTTTTTTTTGGAGATAGCCTTGCAGTGTAGCCTGCCTTGGCTTCCAGAGTGCTGGGATTACAGCTGTTGCAACAAGCCCTGTTTTCAAAGAAGCTAATTTGAGTTTGGATTCTTCCACAGAGTGTTTTGTCCATGCATTGTGGCATTTTTTTTTTTTTAGTCTTTATTTTTGTTATGGAGATCCTCAGTTCACAGAGTAATCATATAATGAACCTTTGGGGCATCATCTCTGAGCCTCAGCAAAAAAATTTTGGCAGTCTTGTTTTGAGCCCTGTGGGATGGTTTTTTCTTACATGCTGGAGATCATCCTTGGGCGGTCACAGGAATGATAAGACCTATCCCAGGGGCCTGAACTCAGTCCATGAGCTACAGCCCCAGCCCCACCGATGAATCTTGACTCATGGTGGATTCTTCCTTTTTCCTACCCCGCACCAGTGGCCCACAGCACTGCTTTGGATCTAAAAGGATCGGAAATTGACTGATTTGCATAATTGAGGCCTAAGGATTTATTGTTACTCCGGAACCCAGAACTTTATCTCCAGTTTGTACTTTTAAGAGAGTGAAGAGTGAAATTTGTGGAGATATTTCCTAGGAAATTGGTGAATTTGTGCCTTAGCAACAGTCACCCCACCGAGTGTCAGGCCCAGCACTATGAGTTGCATCCCAGCCTCCCAGGGGAGGAGGAGGGAGAGGAATTGGCTGTGGATGGGGACAGGGGTGAGGAACCTCCCAGGCCAGGGTTGGACTCTCTTCCTGTCCCCGTTCCCCAGATTATTGATTGATTTATTTAGTAATGTTTTAGTGTAGAGACAAACACTGTGCGCAGCATATAGAAATAACCTATTTGGTTTTTTGTTTCCTAGGTGTTACTGGAGTTGCAAAAAGAATTACTAGACTACAAAGGAGTTGGCATTAGTGTTCTTGGTAAGATTTGCTTTTGGATTGTGTGAATGTTTAGCTTTCAAGGGGAACTTGTTTAAATGAATGGGGCCTAAGTCTCTACAGGGTCTTCCCCTAATCCTTCGTAGATACATTTAAATAACTTGGGTTGCATGTTTGCTTGCAGTTCTCAAAATAGCACTGTCCTGTAACCTGGGAGTGAATAGAGTACACTTTACAGAACGATGAAGTACTCAGACATAAAAATATAAGTAGTCAGCTTGATGACCTGTGATGTATTATTTGGTATTCTGTTCTGCTGTAGTTGTCTGTAGGAACCTTAGACATCTCAGCCAACTGTTTAGTGACCAGTTTTTGTTAGTTATAGGATCTGGGATCAGAAGATAATTTACGCCACTGATGACTTATGATATTACGTCACACTGAACTAGAGTTTTTGTTGTACTTTAATACAAACTTATTAAAGTTTCAAACTTTCTGACCTTGCACATGAGTAATTTCATTGTTAAATTTCTCTTGTATTTATGAGACATAAAGGAGAATATTGGGCCTTTGAGTTCTAAGGTTTATTTTTTTAAATTTAATTTTATTTTGGGGGAAAGTTTCAAAGACTGAGCTGTTAAAAGACTAGGATTAGGTGTATTGCTTATTCGAGTTACATATTTTCCTGAGGGTTTGCTCCGTGCAGTTAGTTGCATTTCTGTGAGGTGAGGTTACAGTGTGGCAGGTTGCACCGGCTTCCTGCATGTGAGAATGCGGTGGGGTGAGGAAGAGTTGCAGGGACCCCAGTGATGAGTTATCAAGTGAAAAAAATAACAAATAGCTCACTGAATGTGACAGTTTAGAAATCATTCTGCAGTGACTGAAGATGAAAATGATTTAGCTAGAGGCAGTTTGGATTGTCCCCTATGCTGAGCGTGGGCTCACAATTTTCCTGTATTGTTTCCCTGTACCTTTCATAAACTCTTTAAGTTCACTTGGTTTTGAAATAAAACTATTTTTGTCGTTTATTTTCTACAGAAATGAGTCACAGGTCCTCAGATTTTGACAAGATTATTAGGAACACAGAGAGTCTGGTGCGAGAATTGTTGTAAGTTAAAAAAAGACCAAATGGTGTTACTTTTGCTTTGTGTGCTATAAACCTGAGTGTCTGTTACATTGTTTCTTATGTTCTGTTGTTCAGAATATTCCATAAATGAACATTACCCACGTTACTCTCAACTTTACTATTAGCTCCTAATGCTTTTTAATGTATTTGCCAGCCTGCGTTTATGTGCTTCTGTGTTTGTGTGGTATATACAATGACGAGAAATCCTCGTATTTGCAAAAATTTTTCAGCACTGTGGTAGCTAAATTGGCTTGAAAGGGATTTAGGCACAATTACCTGCAATCTAGTTTAGGACGCCTCCAGGTGTGAGCGTGTTACCACCTGTCAGAATCACCTGACCAAGGGTAGATTTTTTAAAAATTCAAGACCTGTCCACATTTGCGGAATTGGATTGTCTGAAGAAACTTTGATCTCTAGCAGGCTCTGTGGATCATTTCACAGTTCTAAACTCCTGGCTCTGCTGCTTAAGTGAGACCTCTGCTGTTATCTGCCCTGTGTTTCATGCTTTATTCTTAGGATTTTTTTTTTTTTTGGTACTGGGGATCGAACTCATGACCATGCACTTGCAAGGCAGGTGCTTATGCCGCTGAGCTAAATCCCCAGCTCCAGGATATCTTATTCTTAAGCAGGTCATAACTGAAAGAGAGGTTTTATTTGTTATATAAATATAGTCACATATGTGGGTGAATATGGTAGCCTTGAAAACAGACTGCCCCTTTGAGTTTGCTTTAAATTTTTTTTTTTTTTTTTTTTTGATGTTGGGACCCTGTGCTTGGCAGACAGGCAGGCACTGTGCCACTGAGCTAAATCTTCAGCCTCTCCTTTAGTTTTTGGTCACAAAAGGTATGTATGTTTATAGTCAGAGGTTCAGAAACAAGCTGCAGCTTTAGAAATGAGTCAGACATTTTCCGTAACCCCACCACCTAGGGATGATCGTGGATATTTTAGGGGTTACTGTTGCATCACTCCATAAGCGTGAGCACAGTTGAAACTGTTCCGGGTGTTCCATGACCTTCCTTTTTATGTTACCCTGCTAAGGCAAGCAGTGAGGTGGGCGTGGAGGTCCCGTGACGGGTGTGAGACCGCTGCACGGCTGGGGGTTCAGCACGGGTGGGTACTTGCCTGACTTGTGCTCAGTCTGCCTGCTGTGGTCCATGTCACACTGAAGGAGCAGTGCTGTTCATATTGGAAAAGGTACTGTAGCCTTGGCCTGAAAGATGTGGCGTTGAGCACATGGCTTTGAGCCTCTTTGGGCTGGACCTGATCCCATGGGCTAGCTTGGGTCATGGGCTAGCTTGGGTTGTGTGCTTGCTTGTGTGGAGCTGGGGTTAGCGGCACTTGATGGACAGAGAGCCCAGGGGTGATCTCCTCAGGGAACAGCAGGGAGTTAGTAGGAAAAGGAGGAGGTGCTTTGATTAGGCAGTAGCCACAGGCTTCCCCTGTCGCCCCCCATAAATCACTGGGCCAGGGCGGCGTAGTGATTGGGGTAGGAAGAGAAGTACTGAGACTGGACCGTACTGAAAGCCAAATCCACCCGCAATGTCTTGCTGAGACCTCACTTTTTCTTCTTGGGCCACCCAAGCCTGTGCACTGATTGTTAACCTGCGCTTCCGCCTAGAGCTGTGCCGGACAACTACAAGGTGATTTTTGTGCAAGGTGGCGGATGCAGCCAGTTCAGCGCTGTTCCCTTAAACCTGATCAGCCTGAAGGCTGGGAGATGTGCTGACTACGTGGTCACAGGAGCATGGTCAGCGAAGGCCGCAGAGGAAGCTAAGAAGTTTGGGACCGTGAACGTCGTCCACCCTAAACTCGGGAGTTACACCAGTAAGTCCTGGGACCTGGGTGCCACGGGGCTGGCGGGTGGCTCCCCATGCCCGGGCCTGTCTCTCTGCCTGAAGCTGTCCTTCCTGGCCCTTGCTTAGGGTGGTGCTGCGTACACTGAGCAGCTGCAGTGTGGCCCACTTCTAGCCAGCATCTGCAGCAGTGCATGTACAGGCCCAGGCCACTCAGCTGAGACGCAAGCTGAGCAGCATGGCTCTAGGGTGGCTTGCGTGGGCCCTGGTGGTGCCTCCCGGTGTTCCTGTGTGTTCTTGGTTCCCTGGTTAGGGAGAGCTGTCCCCACTTTCTGGGAAGATGGCTTTGTGTCCGCCCAGGTTTCTGTGCCTTTGTTGGGCATCCCCAGACAGTTTTGGGGGCCTGGCGCAAGTCGCCAGTGTGATGGCGCCTGAGTCCCACCTGTCTCCCAGGCCATGAGACTCATGTGGGCTGAGGGTGATGGGGGCTAGGGGCTCTGAGGGGCTGTTGGGTTCTCAGCAGGAGTTGGAGAGACAGAGCTGAGGGACAGGAGTAAGCCTCCCCTGTCTTGTGCTGGTTTTCAAGGTTATTTGTGCCTAACACATTGGAGGGTGTGAACGGTCATCCTCTGGGATGTCCTGGGAGTAGTAATGGGAGAGGGGGACTGCAGGGCAACTGCTGAGTCTGCCACTGACAGCCTCTGCGTGAGGGGACCCGAGTCCGGGGTTTCACACTTGTCTTCCCTGGTAGAGATCCCAGATCCAAGCTCCTGGACCCTCAACCCAGAGGCCTCCTATGTGTATTTCTGCGCGAACGAGACTGTGCACGGCGTGGAGTTTGACTTCATCCCTGATGTCAAGGGTGCGGTGCTGGTCTGCGACATGTCCTCCAACTTCCTGTCCAAGCCGGTGGATGTTTCAAAGGTAGAGCGCAGGCGGGCTGAGCTGGCTTCCTAGGGGCCCTGCTGCTGGGGTCGGGGAGTCGGGGAAGGGCCGCTGCCAGCTGGGACTAGCAGACCGGAAGCAGGGCCGATTGATGGCTGATAGTTGCCTGTTACCAGCTGTCCCGAGGTTTAAATCCTGACATTCCCAGCTCTGCGGCTATACTCAATTCCTGCCTTCCGGGGTGGCTTTGGGAGTGTCCTGTTCTCTCCAAGGGCAGATGCCATCTACCCCAGCCCAGGGGTGCCAAGCCCCCTTTCCTTGCTGCGGGCAGCCACGGGCGCATGGCCTCTGCAGGTGGCCTAGGCTGGTTCTGGTGCCTCAGTAAGGGGCGGTGCCTGCAGAGAGGGCAGAAGCAGTAGCTGGACCAGCCAAACTGGTCTGCTTTGACTTTTTAACTTGTGTTACAGTGTCCTTAACATCAGGTTTATCATTTTAACGTGTGTGTGTGTGTGTGTGTGTGTGTGTGTGTGTGTGAGTGATACTGGGTATTGGACCTAGGACCTTCGCACTGAGCTGCATCCCCAGCCGTTTTTATTTTGAGACAGGGTATCACTGAGTCACTTAAGTACTGAGTTGCCCAGACTGGCCTTGAACTTGCAGTCTTCCTGCCTCAGCCTCCTGGAGTGCAGACATTCAGGGCCTTTGCTGCCACTCCCAGCCTTGACCATCTTTAAGCGTGGATTTCATTGGCATGGAGAGTACTCGTTCCCACCCATCGCTAAGAACCTTTTTGTTCCCCAGATTGAAGCTTTATACCCATGGGCAACAGTCACCCCCCAGCCCCTGCCCCTGGCAGCCCCCTTTCCTATTCGTATCCATGAGCTGGGCTGTTCCGGGGACCCCCCGTCAGTGGAATCATGCGGTACTTGATCTTTGGTGTCTAGCTGTGTCACTCACCATGATGATGTTAAGATTTGCTTATGTGGAAGCATGTGTCAGGACTGCATGTGTGTTTCTGTGTAAATGTGTATGTGTGTGTTTTTGCGCATGTGGGGAACTGAGACCTGAGCAGAGCTCTGTCACTAAGCTACCTCTCTAGAGCCCTTATGTGAGACAGAGTGGCACTGAGTTGCCCAGGTTGACTCTAGACGTGGCCTCCTGCCTCAGCCTCTTGAATGGCTAGGACCCCAGGTGGCGCCACCATGCCCTCCTCGGAGCTGCCTGGGTAAAGGCTGAATATACTCCATGTGTGACTGTTCCGTGTTTGTCCTATTGTCTGCCTTTCGTCATCTCCAGGCGCTGGCAGTGCTGAATTGTACCAATTGTAAGTCACGCTGCTCACACTCATGTCCTCCAGTTTTACGGGAGGGCACGTGAGGGTTCTGATCCTGCACACGCAGTCTGCTCACGTAGCTTCAAGCGCCTGCTCTCCACAGTGTCTTTTCCCTGGGGCCCTGTGTATTGTCTTTCTCTCAGCGGCCTCCTCCTCAGCATCGTCACTTGTCTCTGTGTAAATATAAAAATTTGGTGTGGGTAGATTTTTGATTTTAAAACTATTTAAAAACTTAAAGTTTTGCTGATTTTAAATGTTCACATAGAGTTCACTTAAAAAGTTTAAGCAATTGAACATTTTTACCATTTAAAAATTATAAAAGTGCCAAAAAATAACTTATTTTCTAGATTAGAAGATGTTTTTTCACTTGGCTGCCAAGGATATTTAAAGACCCTGTTCTGTTTGGCTTTATTTTTCTGTGCAGTGGATTGTCCGTAGGGCCTTCACACTGGCTGCATGCCCTGATTTGAGTTTTTATTGGAGGCAGAATCTGACTAAGTCACTAAAGTTGGGCTTAAGCTTTTGACCCTCCTGCCTCAGCCTCCTAGAGTTATGGGGTTTAGGAGTGTGGCATTGTGAGCAGCTCTGAGGCCTGTTCCCTGTTTGATTGTATTTTTTGTGGTGCTAGAGGTGCACGTTCTCCCCCAGCTGCATCCCTGGCAGCAGCTCGAGTTGGAGCACTGGTTCAGTTGTGGCGTGGAGGCTTCTAAGCTACGGTGTATCCCAGGCGGTGGCAGTGTGGGGCTTGGCGAGCTCCTTGCAGGCAAGGGTTCAGCTTTGAATGTCTGCATGCAGTTAGTAAATATCTGGCACTGGGTGATTTACAAACGCTAGCTGTTTTCTGCCCATTGTTCTTAGTTCCCAGAGACTCTGCAGGAACCCACAAGACACCCAGGTGCGCGCTTCCTAAGTGGGGTTGGTCATCTCCTCCCCACAGGCTGTGCTTGTGGAGTTAGAAAGTTCGCATGCACTGATGAAAATGACCCTGCGGGGCTGGGGGTTTAGCTCAGCGGCATAAGCGCCTGCCTTGCAAGCAGGCAGTCGTGAGTTCGATCCCTGGTACCGATAAAAACGAAAAAGACAAAAAAAAAAAAAAAGAAAGTGACGCTGCATGCTCTTAACATGGTTTGCCTTCCTATTTTTAAGTTTGGTGTGATTTTTGCGGGTGCCCAGAAGAATGTGGGCTGTGCCGGGGTCACGGTGGTCATCGTCCGCGACGACCTGCTGGGGTTCGCCCTCAGGGAGTGCCCCTCAGTCCTGGAGTACAAAGTGCAGGCTGCAAGCAACTCACTGTACAACACGCCTCCGTGTTTCAGGTAACTGGGGTGCAGCGGGTTGGGGAGCCTCAGTTCTTCCTGCCCAAGGGCAGTGACTTCTGAAAGTGAGCATCTTCCTGAACGGTGACTGGGGGGCCTTCTGGGGCCTGCTCAGCACCCCTCCCTTTGGCCCTCTCCTCCACTATTAGATCAGTTTTCTTCGGCCCTTTGTTTTTGGAGAGAGTGTTGCATGTTGGATCTTGGCATCCTGGTTCACCGTGAACCCAGAGCTCTCTGCGGATGACATCACAGCCAGCCAGCCAGTGCCGCTTCCCAGAAACACTTCGGGAGACTGCGGCTTTCACTTCCTCCCATGCTGGCCTGTGCCACCTGGCCCAGATCACCTTCCATCTCCAAGCCTGGTCTGCAGGGGTCCTGCAGCGGAGGTGTCCTCTGCTCCTCAGCCTCCACTGCCAGGACTCTATGACTTTCCCACTGCCTGAGGAAGTTGACCTTGGGGAAGTCCTCGAGCCTGTCTGTGCAGCAGGTTTCGCTGCGAGTGATGCGGTACCCTTTTCTTGGGGTACTGTGAGGTTGAGTACATGCTTCCAACTTAGCGAATACCTAGCATTGGGTGATTTACAAATGCTACATGTTTTCTGCCCATTGTTCTTAGTTCCCAGAGACTCTGCAGGGGCAGACAGAGGAAGAGTCAGAGTCAGAGTTTATGGGTTTATCTTCATAGGGCACCAGGGATGTACCAGAGTGCAGGTAGGGACCCATTAGTCCTCCAGCTACCCTTGGGGTGATTCTTTTTCCCATTTTGCAAGTGAGGAAGCAGAGGTCGTGTTTTCAGAAGCGGTGTTGGTGGTGTGGGCCAAGTCTTGGATGTGGGTATGTGTGCCCCATAGACTCAGTACGCTTTACTAGCTGAATGGCCGGTGTGCGTGCCAGTTTGCAGAATTTCATCAGGAGAAAAATGCCTGTGGCGGTCCAGTTCTGTGGCTTGGCTGGATTTCTGTCTGGAAGTTCACTTCCAGGCTGGGGTTGGGCCAGCATAGTGAATGGTCTTCTCCTGGGGCACTGCCTCCAGGCCGAGATTCCATGCTCCAGCTTACCGTGAGAAAGGAGTTTCTCCAAAGTTAGCATTCCAATGGGGATTCCAAGCAGCTCTGCTTTGTGTGACCCTGCTTTCCCTTAGGGACAGGGTATCCTGGTCCTGACTCTGGTCACTTGTGACATTGTCCCCTTCCCCTGTGCGGCTAAATATGTTTCTAAAGTAAGCGTTAACTTACTGATAGGAGGTTTTAGGCAGTGGCAAACAGCAGTAGCCACCAGGAAGCTTTGGAACAGAACTGGGCAGGTCAGCAGTGACCTTGCTGTGTAGGGGATCCAAAAAGCAGGGTGCAGCACTGCCTGGGGCAGAGGAGAGGTGAGGGCCTGACTGTGCAGGAGGTGGAGCCAGGCCTTCTTACAGTGAGTGAGCTGTTAGGGCAGGCAGGGCCCTGTCAGCTGCAGAACTGAGAGGGCAGCAGCAGATAAAGAAGAGACCTGTTTCTGAGATGTCCCTCAGGGCCAGCAAATTCTGACCAGGGCTTAGCCGAGGGTAGGAGGTGGCCAGGGGCAGGTGAGTTGTGTGCTCTCTGCACCTCTCCAGGAATTACCTTGAAGCAATATGATGAGCACACTGATAAACGTGCTATTCCTCTCAGGGTGAAAACGTTTCAGTGGCAGCCGTGAGAAGCAGACCACATGTCCCGTAGGAGGTGACCATGGCTAGGGATGTGCACTAGAGTGACTGCCCTCTCCTGGGTCTTGGCCTGCCCTTGACCTTTCAGCTGGCCCACAGGGCTTGAGAAGACTGGGGAGACACAGAAACCCTTTCTTAGGGCTTTCTTGCTGGAGGGGCAGAGACAAGGGCAGAAGGCGGGGGGGGGGGGTCCTTTCTCCCCGCACAGATCAGGACAGCTTAGGGTCGTCAGGATGCTTGAGGGTGCGACTGGATAATTCTAATAACTCACTAATGTGAGTGTGGAGGATGAAAGATGCTGCATTAAAAGAATTCTGACCCCAGTTGTTTGCTCTGTTTTACTCCCTGAGAAGACATTGACTGGGTACATCATGGATCCCAGGACCCAGTGGCTCAGAAGATGCCTGGGACCCGTCCTGTGGGCTGCAGAGCACGGCAGAGCCCAACGCCGGAGCTGACCCTGCGTTTGTGCAGACATTAGCGTCTGCGTAGGCGCCTTCCCCAGTCCTGTGGGAAGCTGGCCAGGCGCCCAGAACGCCTCAAGACTCTGTGTCACCATTGGGCAGACGTAGGCTGGAGTTTGAACTGAAGCTTGGTTTGGGTTTTGTTTTTGCCGGAACTGAAAGGCTGTGGGCCCTAGGAACTTAATTTTAGCTCTTCTGGGTAGACGGGGCTGCACGTAGTTGCTCTGTAGCCCTGAGCAACACACTCGGGTGGAATAAAGGGCCACAGTCTTGCCCTAGCACTTGGTGTGGGCGTGTTGAGCCAGTTAATGGGTAGAGGAGAGGATGCCTGAATGTCCTTTCTAACCCCACAAAACAGCTTTTACTTACCACGACTAACTGAGCCCGAAGAATACGCCTGTTTCAGCTGCAGTATTTAGCTGCTATTTTAGTAGTTACTTTCGTTTTAATGAAACTATGAAACGAAAGGGTTGATAACCCAGCCACCTCTCTTACAAGAATGGGAGGTACAGGTGGGGCCTGCGAGAAAGTGCGTGACAGCTTCCATGTGCAGCTGCTCCCCGGGAAGGGTTGTGACCCCACGCTTATTTCCACCAGATCCCCCCTTACACAATTGTGCGTCAGTTCCCAGTCCAGTGCTTTTCTGCAGTCAGAACCTTTCAGCCAAGGAGAGAGTTCCCAGGACTTTCCAGTGTGCTTTTCCAAGCCGGGTCTCAGAGAGAATGGTTTATACTGCTTTAAAAATTTATTAAAGTAACTTAGACATGGAAGTAAGCTCTACAAGTGAGTAGAGCCACCAGTGTGATCTCTAACTGCTTGCTGTGCACCCTAACAGCATCTTAACCAGGACTAACACAGTGCCTCCTGGGGTCTGTCTGGGGTTTGTTCTAGGACCCCCGTGGATAATAGTTATCAGATGCTCAAGGCCCCTGTAGAAAACGGTGTGGAGCTAGGCATAGCAGCGGCACACACCTGAAATCTCAGCATGCTGGGACCCTGAGGTAGGAGGAGCAAAGGTTTGAGCCCAGCCTGGGCAACTTAGAGATTTAGCAAGACCCTGTCTTTAAAAAAGTACAGTTTTTATTTTTGCATGTAGCTTAAGCATGTCCTCCTGCATATTCTAAATGATCTGCAGATTACTTAACAATATTTAGCCCAGGGTACATGCTGTGAAGATCTTTGTTAGGCTGCATTGTGTCAGGAATGATGGCAGGAAGAACAGTCTGCATGCTCAAGTACAGACCCATTCCCCCAGACTCTGAGTCTTTGCATCTGTGGATGTGCAGCAGCCCCTGAGGGATTCGTGTGTCATTCTAGACACCTGGCCAGGACAGTGGGCTGACGGCTCCTTTCCAAAGCTTTGGATCTGGAGAACTAACAGACCTGAAACTCGGGGGTGACAGAGTTTCGGGGGAAGGCAAAGCTTGGCTCCCACAGTGGTGGTGTGCAGGGTGAGCGCGTTGTGGGAGAGGAGTGGGCAGTGACCGGGGCCTGAGGACACCGCAGACAGAGCTTGGCAGCTTGCACAGGTGCACACCGAAGCAGCTGGCCTCGCTGGCTGTGCCTGAAGGCGTGGGGGACTCTAGTGACCACGTGGCCCTGGTGTTAGTGAGGAGAGCTGGGTTGTGGGGTCAGGCTGCTTAGTGCTGGAATTCTGACCTGTTCCCTTAGCTGTAAAGTATGACAGCAGTGGCTTTGACCTAGGACTGTGCCATCAGTAAAAGCAGTTTGAAACTGCACTAGGCTCCAGTAAGGCTCATTCCCTCGTGTCTTCCCCTTCTCCACCCCCCAACTTCCCGGTCTTTAGCCCAGGAGCCCCAGCTGAGGGTGTAGGCACCCAGGGCTGTTTCCTGCTTGACCTTGCCTCTGTCAGTAATGGCTGCTGTTGCCCTTTCCTGCCAGAGTTTCCTGGAGAGCCAGGCAGCCGAAGCTTCTGGAAGCTTCTGTTGGATGCTCTGGGTGCTGGCTGTTCTCTCTAAGACCCTTGGGCAGCCCATTGTTGGCTTTTGTGCTTGCTGGGGTTGGACTCTGCTTGAGACAGTGAATGAGCTGGTGCACATGGGGCCCCCCGGGACACTCCAGCTCTTCTAGCATTTCCCAAGCCTGGCGGTGTCTCCCGAGCCCTTTCTCATGGTGTGAACAGACGGAAGGTGTTGGTAAATGGGGAGGTGGCTGAGCTTGGGTGCTCCTGCCCCAAAGTTTTACTGAGCACTGATGTGCATCAAAGTTTTGCACAACTCCCACAGAGGACTTTGTGGTATACTTTCTAGGTGCAAGACTGTTTGACTCCTCACACACCGTGCTCACTGGTCTTTCTGTGTAATTCTAAGAGAGACTCACCATGATTATGCCCATGGTAGGTAGAAGAATGTTGTTATATAGTGTAGGCTAGCCTCACACTAGCCGTGTGGCTCAGGCGGGCCTCAAACTTACAATTCTTTGGCCTCAGCCTCCCAATTGCTAGGAAGACAGGCCTGGCCCCAGGGAAATTTCTGATTGGTCAGGTTGGGTCCTTCATCCTACACTGAGACCAGAGTGGGGAGGCTTGCCGGGCATCTGCATGTTGGGTGGAGAATGGATTTGAGAAGAGCAGGACGGGTGAAAACCTAGGTGTCTACCCCGAATAGGTGGCTCTTGTTCCCAGTGGGAACTGCTCAGACTCCTGAGTCGTTGTCCTGGGCATTGAGTCTGATAGGACTAGGAGCCGCTTCAGGACTGTGACCAGGAGGGAGCCTGTGACTGTAGCTGCTATGCCACCCAAACTGGTTAGGAGGAAGGCGCTGAATCAGGACTCAGGGCTAGAAGAGGTGACTGTGTGCACTTCTGGCTTCTGAGACTGGATTCTGGGACATAAGCACACATGAGCAGTAGCTGAGGGCCGTGTGGTAGGAAATACCGCAGGCAGGCAGTGTGCATGAGCGGCTGTGGGTCAGGAAGGAGAGTGTTAGTGCTGGGTGGGGCCAGGGAGGTGGGTTTTTGTGATGTCCTGTGAGGGTGGGGGATTCGGTGGTATGGCCCAGGAGTCACAGGCAGCTTGTGTTAGGGTGTGGGCTAGGTCCAGAGGGGCTGAAGAGACTTCGTTGAGTGCTATTGGAGTGGCCCTTGGGGTCTGGGGTAGGGCTGACTCTTGTTCTTACATACTCTTGTGACATACTCTTGTCTACATGTGATTTGCTGTTACCTGTCAAAGTGCAGCTCTGAGAGCAGTTTTCTTGAACGTCCTTCCAGGTGTGCAGAGATGGTCTAAACATATCCCCATTTTCATCCTTTTTTAGCATCTATGTCATGGGCCTGGTGTTGGAGTGGATTAAGAACAATGGTGGGGCAGCAGCCATGGAGAAGCTTAGCTCCATCAAATCTAAGATGATTTATGACATCATCGATAAGTCTCAAGGATTCTACGTGTAAGTCTCTGGGCTTCATCTTACGTTTGGCCTCCTGTGAATGGAAGACTTGCCCCTTCTCTGTGCTGGTGTGGGGTGGGCGGTCTTGCTCCCCTGAGCTTGGAGTTGAATTATTGTCTCCTGCTCTACACCGAGGAATCCCAGACTTTGGGACGTGTGTCGGTGGTGGTGACATTTCTCACTGAGGAGACATCAGTCTGAGGAAGAGTCTCGGTTTGATGCCTGGATAGGCCCCTCCTCCACTCTCCCTCCTCTGTTGTCACTGGGAGAAACATTTGTCAGGGCCCAGCTTCACATTGTGTTCCTGTGGAGTGTGCAGTATGCATGTTCATACATACAGTTACATACATTCACGTCTACATTCCGCTGCCCACCCAGGCCAGGACCCTCTTTTAGTTTGTTTTATGTGGAGCCTTGCTGTGTTGTCTAAGCTGGCCTGGAAGTCCTGGCTCAAGTCCTCCCGCCTTAGCCTCCTGAGACCTGGGTCTACAGGCATGTACCCTGCACATGGCTTAGGACCACCCCCCCCACTGCCTATTTTTTTTTTTTTTTTTTTTTGGTACCACTAGGGGTTGAACTCAGGGAAGTGCTGAGTGGCATCTTCAGTCCTTTGCATTTTTTATTTTGAAACAGGTGCTTGTTGAGTTGGCCAGGCTGGACTTGAACTTGATCTCCTCCTGCCTCAGCCTTTGGAATAGCTGGGACTATATAGGCATCCATTGCCGTGACTGGCAGGACTGCTATTCTTAATGGTGGTTATTCTTTGAGATTCAGCTTGTTGGAACCAAAATGCCTGCCTGCTGGGAATGAGGGGATAGGCCCTTTCTGAGTATTCTGTAGGCTACATGCAGTAGAAAACAGGGTGCTTCAGTCCTGACTTAGGCTTGTGTTTTTAGTGAAGTGTCGCACATTTCCACCCCCAGCTGTGCTGAGGGGGTGAGATGTACCCTCTGAGCTCCGGGACAGAGTGCTGGCTGCCAAGGCCTTTCTCCTGAACTGCTTGTTGCCTGCCCCTGGGAGCTCTTGGTGTGCAGAGGACCTCCGGCCGCAAGCCCTGGGGGAGTTGGATTTGGCTGGACACCTTGGCCTTTGGCTTCCTCTGCAGATGCCATCTCGATGGGGGAAGGACACACACTGCACCTTCGCTGCCTTTGTTTCTCTGCACGAGGCCAAGGGGGTTGGGAGTCTTCCTCCTTGTCCCAGACACAGGACAGTGCTTACTGGAGCCATTTCAGTGTGCTTGATGGGCGGTAGAGGTTCAGGGAGTTTGTAGCCAGGGGCTGCAGAATGCGCATAAGCTTGGGACAGGAGTTGCTGTCTGGCTGAGGGAACAGGAGAGCTTCTGGATGCACTCACTTTTGGCGATTCCAGATTGCAAGCCAAGCTGTGGGAAAGCCCGAGGACATGGTGGGCGCGTGGGCTCACTCCTCCACACACCTGTGCGCTTACCTGCTTGCTTATGCATCTTTTTCCTCATCCGTCTATCCAGTACCAGTCCTCCCCTTCAGACTCTCCTGTGCAGTCGCTCAGTCTGTCATCCATCTGCTCCTGAGCCCCCACTCTAGGAAACCCTGCTCCTGAGATTACATGAGATAACCCTGGAAGACTCCGAGTTCATTCTGCAGTCTTACTGCCCCATAGCACTGGTGACCAGGTGGGGGGCCAGTGTGGGCAGGGTGGCCTGGTGTTCTGGGCCAGGAGCTCTGTGCCACTGCTGGTGGTGACCTTGGTCTAGTGACAGAGTTAAAGCTGTCTGTAGCATGGGTGTATCTCTCAGGATTACGTGGAAAGGCAGGTGCGTGTGAGGGGTGAACCGGTCTTGCACTGATTGATAAAGCACCACAGACATTGCACACCATGAGCATCCCTCACCTGTGAGCTGTTGACACTACTTGCAGTCACTGCTGTGTGAAGAGCTTCAGAGGCTCCTTGCAGACACTGCTTCAGAAGAGTGTCTTTACTATAAGGATGTACAAGCCACGAGTCTGAGTCAGGATCAGAGCCGCTTCTGTTACTCTATGGAAGACCAGGCCTTAGGAAAGAGAAGAATGTGTGTGGGAGGGTCTAGTGAAGACCTTAAAACCAACGACATAGGCAGTGGCCTCCCTGGCGGGTGTGCATAGAGTGTCATTTGATCGTCACTGCTGTCTGTGACTTAGGCTCCAGCCCTGCAGGCTGCGACTGGATGTGCACTGGCACTGCGAGAGGGGTGCTGGACTCTGACGAGCGCTGGTCTGGGGCCGGGGTCCCCTTTGATTATGCTGCTAAGGACCCCAGCGAGAGCGGGTCGCAGACAGCATGACGTTCTGCCTAAACAGTGTGAGAGCCAGCAGAAGGCACGGAGGTGCTCAGGAGTAGAAATGTGACGAGACTGAGCTCAGTGTGTCAGTGTCTGCCAGGAGTCTATCTTCTCCAGGAGCGGATGTGTGTGTCCTGAGGCAAGGATTCGTAATAGCCACAAGAACTGAAACTTAATCAGACACATCTGTTCACATTTGTGCAGAAGGGTAGCTGAAAATTTTAGTTCAGGACAAACTTAGCAAGTGGTGTATCAGAATTCTGTAACACTGTGTTCATTTAAACTGCAGCACAGGAAGAGACAGTAGTTCAGTGGGAGGGAAATCCAGAAACACACAGGCTTACTTGAGAATTAGTTGCTTGTTAAATAGGGAGGAAAGGTATGTTCATAACATGCTGTTTGAAGCAGTGACAATCCATGTTGGCAACTTTAGTTATTTGGATCAGACCATATTAAAAAATGAAGTCTAAACAGTCATAAAGATCTGAAAACAATAAACAGAATTATAAAAATCCTGTAGAAAAATATTGGTAAGAATTTCTAAGTGCCAGAGTATAGAAAGCTTTCCTTAAAAAAGCCAGAAAAAATCAGAAGCATTAAAGTAATGATATATTTAATTTCATTCAAATTTTAAAGTGTTATACAACTGAAGACATAAATAGTTAAAACAACAGATGACAGACACCAGGAAACATTTGAAGTATATAACATAGAAAAGGTTACTAGTCTTAATAGGCGAGAAGCCACAATGAAGAATAACCAAGTAAAACCCAGGACCTGATAGGACATGGTGCCCTTGCCTGTAGTCCCAGCACTTTGGGAGGCTGAGGCAGGAGGAGGATTATAAGTCTGAGTCTTGTTCTTGGACATGTTAGTAACTTACAGAGTGAGACCTGTCACAAAACAAAATAAAACAGGCTGGGTAAATGGCTCAGGGCAAAAGCCCTGGGTTTAATTCGGAGAACTTTGGAGGAAACACCCAGCCAGAGCAGAAGGTGGAGGTGTACATCTGGACAGTGCAAAGCCACATTTGCTGTTGGTGTTTGAACTCTTGTCGTCCAGCAGTGCTGTGTGTGAGTGGCCGCCTTCTCCTGGTACCCTGTGGCGCACAGAGGTGCAAGTTCAGATGACTGGGCCTGTGGCTGCTGCCCCATGCTTGTAGATCCACCTCGTTCCGGGAGGGCACTCTGCAGGATCCTGTGGGCATTACAGCCACCCCGGCAAGAGCCTGGCACCCCAGTTAGGTCAGAGAACTTGCAGGTGGCCTCTACGGCTTCTGGGTGCAGTTAGTGCCAGAAAGCTCGTCTTCATCCGTCCTGACCCATCTGCCCTGCAGTGCGCCAGGCCCTTAGTTACCTGCTTGGCTTTCTGAGGGGAAGATTCTTGTCTGTTTGGATTTAATCCCCTACTTGCATCTAAAAAACACATCTTTTAAGCTTGTAGACTTGTGGATGGTAGCCCACGCACTGAAGCAGGAGCTAAAGTAATGTCCTTGGCTTTCAGATGTCCAGTGGAGCCGCAGAATAGAAGCAAGATGAACATCCCCTTCCGCATTGGCAATGCCAAGGGAGACGATGCTCTGGAGAAAAGGTTCCTCGATAAGGCGCTGGAGCTCAATATGATCTCCCTAAAAGGACATAGGTGGGTACCCCTCTTCCCATCCAGGAGCTGGCTTGGGACTGGGTTTTCCACTTCACACACGGAGTGAAACGAACTGAAGAGCTGGCTCAGCTGGGCCTGGCAATTTTGTAATTGCGGGAATCTGTCCTGGGAGGGGGCCCTGCCTCTGACCACAGAACCCGTAGCACTGGCTCCTGGCTCTCGGGTGGAGGCACCACGGGGCTTTTGTCTGAGCAGCTTGCGCAGCACAGAGCCTGCCCGAGCTGGGGCAGCACCTTGCCGAGACTCCAGCTGAGCGTCAGAGATTAACGATGCAGACCCTGGACAGTCACTATCCTCACACGTGTGAGCAGCCATGGCAGCGATCTGTCCACCAGCCAGAGAGCTCTGGAAAGAGAGAGAGTGCGCTCTCCTTGGCCTCCTCTAGTTTCTGTGTCCAAAGCGTCTAGTTGGAGTTGATCAGAGAGGAGTAGTAGGGGTTGTCCCTGTGTGAGGGAGCCTGTCCTAAGGAAAGCATCGAAAGCTCTGTGCCACCTGTTGGGGGTTTCCAGTGGGACACGGGGTGTGGTGACTCTCAGGAGAGCAGTGAGGGGCAGGGTGTGGTGATGGCTGTGTGTGTGTGTGTGTGTGTGTGTGTGTGTGTGTGTAACTGGGTTGAACCCAGGACTCTGCATGTGCCAGGCCACCATTTTCCACCGAGCAAAGCCCCCTCCTGGCTGCCTGTGTTCTTCATTGTCTGATCTTCGTGTAGGTCGGTAGGCGGCATCCGGGCCTCCCTGTACAATGCTGTCACAGTAGAAGATGTGCAGAAGCTGGCGGCCTTCATGGAAAATTTTCTGGAAATGCATCAACTGTGAACACACGCTAAGTGGTCTGGACTCTGCCCTTGAGTGCCGCAGGGTAGAGAACCATGGGAAGTGGCTGCAGAAACATGAAAGACTTGGCAGTGTTTTCAAATGAACGTGGTGATTGCGGATTCTTCACTTTGCAAAGAACACAGCGAAACTTGCAGAGTTCTGCAAAGCTGATGGGACCACCAGCTAACGGCCACTTTAGTCCCAACTGGAACTGGAAATTTCTTTTTAATCATCCTGTTGCTTTTCTAACAAATTCTGGTCTAATTTTATCTTCACTGCTGCTTGTTTTTAGGTAGATGTCAGTGTCAGAACTTGCCTGGGACGTCATTGTACAGGGCAGGTGTTTCTGAAGCTGTGCACACACGGCACCGGCTTGGGGCGGAGGTGTGGACAGCAGTGGGTCTCTCGGCTCCCAGGGCCGATGGCGCAGCTCGGAGCAGCATGGGGAGGGCTGTGGAGTTCCAGGCGAAGGGTGGAGCGGGACATCTCTTTATATCATTAGCCTCATGAAGAGATAAATGATTCACTGTAAATGGTTCTACTCTAAGGTCGGTTCTTAACACACATAGTTTATATCTCTATGCTTTTATGTTTCTGATAAAATGGTGCTTTGTGATACATGCAGAGACTTAGAATGTGTCCAATCCCTGTGATGCGCTGCTTCGTGAAAAGGTTCTGCAAGTTCCACAATTCACTTTTTAAAAGTCTCTTTTGAACACGCGAGTTCCAGGTCCAGTGGAGGGTCCTTCCCCGTGGGGCTCTGGTCAACATCTCATGTTGACTGTGGAGAATATTAAAGGCCTCAAACACTGAAACCCTTGGCAGTAAAAACTTCTCTACTGGCCTTTTAGACAAATGTTTGTTTTTTAAACTTGTTGCTGGAAAAACTAGTCTAAAAATGGGGCCCGGTAAGAGTAAATTGATTTGATCGAAGGTGGAAGACTTGAGTGTTCTGCAAATATTTTTGAAAAGTTCAAGGCAGTGTGGTAGTTTTCCATTGCTTTCTAACAGACATTTCCAGCCAGCAGTGCTCCCACACAGCTCACAGTGCATGGTTCGGTGACCTCTGTCCACCTGCCCCAGAAGCCTGTGCTGTCACCTCTGGCTGTGTAACGAGGACTCAGCTGCGTGTGCTGCTGCGTGGAGCCCCTGGTCAGCCCCGGCTGCCCTGGCTGGATTCTCATGGGTAAGAGGAGAGTTGAAATAACTCTCCCGCTGACCTCCGGTGGTTAAGGGGTAAAGCCGGGGCTTGACGCACTTGAAGAATGATCACAGTAAATCAGCAGCAAGAGCCGGCCAGTCCGTGGGACCTGACCCAGTGTCCCAGACAGCAGTGGGCTACCCAGCGCACCCTCCCTACCTCCCAGGTGGTCGCACAGGCCTGTTGTCTGAGCCAGCCCTGTTTTTCTCAATGTTTCTCGAATCTCCGTTGATGTCATGCCAGCTGTGGTGTGTCAGCCTGAGTGGACACTGCCCATCTACACCTCCCACCACAACCAGCTGGACTTCCCATGTGCCCCTGTGGACACATGGGAGGTGTGACCAAAAGGAGCAGCTAGTGCTTATATAAAATTGCAGTACAAGATAACATTGCCATTCCCCGCCGCGCCCTCGCTGCCCCTTGCATTGAGCACAGTTGTCCCCGTCCTGGAAGTTGTCTTTTGTAAGTGGCTTTAGTTGGCTGTCCTGCTGAATTTGTTTTGCTTTTTGCTTTTTGTTTTTTTTGAGAGAAGTTGGCCTCGAATTCACGTAGCCTAGGCTGGCCTCAAACTTGTGGCGATCCTCCTGCCTTAGCCTCCTGAGTGCTGGGATTACAGGCCTGCACCACCACACCCGCATGCTGTGGCCATTTTGATGTTCTGAATCAATTTAAAATACTTAGCTTTTGTGGTCATTTTGCCTTTGAGGAAGAGCCAGAAGTTTTACATCCTGGATCTGGTGATAAGGCGGGTGAGGACACTGTGTTTATGAGCAGCCTTTTTGTTGGATGGTGCTCGGCATTTGCCATATTTTTGGTCACTTATGAAAGGGCTTCAGAACTTCAGAACGTGACAGGAGCAATGCAGTGCGTGTGTTTAGAGGGGGAATATTTTCAGAGCGATTGATGGCCGTGTGTTTACTACAGTAATATGTTTGTTTTTTGAGACAAAGTCTCACTCCATAGTTCAGCCTGACCTTGAGCTTATGATGAGCCTCCTGCCTCAGCCTCTTGAGTGCTGGGGTCACAGGTGTGCACCACCACACCTGTAACATGTTTTCTTAATTGAAACATTTTCTGTGTATTTTGATCACCCCACGTTAAAAACCTCGGGCTTCGGGGGCAGTCCCTGCCCTGTGGCATTAGACTGGCCTCTGTCTCGGGTGCTGATGTCCTTGGAAGTGGCTGCCGTCTGGCCACGTGTGACAGTTCCTACACGGGAGACCCTGTTCCCACTGGGTGAGACTAGCCAGCCCCAGCCTGGCTTGTGCTCCTGTTTATCAGCACAGGGGCTTTTGTTTCTCTGTTCTCACTGTGCAGAGCTTTCCTCCTCTCAGAGCAGCTCTGTTCTGCCCTCACCTTGCAGAGGCTGCTGTCTGTGGGAGCAGCTCGGTCCTCCCCCGGGCTCCTCTCCAGCTGTGCCCTGAGAGGTGCTGGACACTGCGCTGGCCCTGGGAGCCCCCAACTTGCACAGGTCTTCCCGAGGCTGCACCCTGGACGTGGGGCGGGAAAGACAGAGGTGTGATCTCAGCTGTGTGATCATTTTCAGAAGTTTAGCATAGACCACAGTTATTTTCTACTGAAATGGTCCAGTGTGATTCCATGATTGAATAAGAACTTCTAAAGTCCTAGAGGTTCCTTAAAACGCTAAATCTGAGCGCTTTTGGGAAATAGGCAGCAGCTGATGGGGAGCCATGGGGAGGCTGTGGGGCGTGGACTTAGGGAAAGCAGTTAGACTCATCCTCTGCGCGTTCACTGAGCAGGGCAGGGGTAGGGGTGGGGAGGCCAGGTGCAGGCGGCCTCCTGCAGACCAGGAGCCAGGTAGATAGACACCAGGCCTTGGGCACCCACAGGGGCTAGGTGGGGGCACCTGCCTTGCCTCCCTTGGGCTTCTCTAAAGTGTACTTTCCCAGCTGAATGGGAAGTGTTCTTGTTCAAAGTTCTTTATGAATCATCCTCACTCTGTGCCATCCCAGTCAGAAGCACCCTTGCGCCTGTGTTTGCTATGTTCTCCACACACCATGGCCTTATCTCCACCCCCGTTTATGATCCAGTTCCCAGGGATACTCCTGAGACTGACCTGTTCGTGATCTAGTGTGTCGAGTCCTCCAGAGTCCATGCGGGACTCTTTTTTTTTTTTTTTTTTTTTTTTTTTTTTTGTCTTTTTCCTTTTTATCGGTACCGGGGATCGAACTCACGACCGCCTGCTTGCAAGGCAGGTGCTTATGCCGCTGAGCTAAATCCCCAGCCCCTCCATGCGGGACTCTTAACGCTAGACCTGCGACTGTTGGTAACTCAGTGCTCCGAGGCCGTGCGCTTACCGTGTTGTGTTTCTCTTCTGTGAACAAGAAGCAAATGGTTCCGCTTCAGTTCCTCTTGCTCCCATTGGGTCATCTTTGAGATCTTAATGCTGCTTCCTCACAGCCTAGCGGCTAACACTGGAGAGTCTGGCATGCTTTTGGGTGAACTTTGTGGGGTAACAAGTAATTCTTCCTCCTTTTAAGGCCAAAGGAGCCACCGAGACCCTAAAAATAGACAAGATCCATTGATAGATGATGAGGTGTCCAGCTCTGCCACGGGCACTGCCAGGCTGGCCTCGTGTCCACTGTGATGAATATTTGTCAGGTTCTTTGGAAGGAAAACAGTGACGAAGAGTCTTCTCACGTTTGATTTGAATGCATGTAATTAAAATGTGAAATGCTGTTGAGTTCACTAAGAAATCAATTGCTTTAATTGGAAAGATGGCTCCTTCCCTCTGTCCATAATTGGGCTCTTGGTAATTTGAAAATTAGAATCCCTGACAGCTTGTGATAAATTGGCTCCTTTTGGGCTAAAGCAGGTAACAAGTTCTAATTACCTCTGGATTATTCCAGAATGGATGGGTAATCTTGATCAAAGCGATCCTGGGAACGAAAAGCTAGCAGTGAGCAAAGGTTTACTGAAATTTTAAAAAGAAGCTAACGAATAAAATATCTTGATATGACAGAAACAAGAGCTTGCATATTTTAAGTCCTAGAAATGTAAATTGGAATTTCTAAGGAAATGCTTGATATATTAGAAAAACTATACACAGAATAGTATATATACAGAAATTCTTTAGGTTGCCAGCCCTGCTTACTTGTTAGAGCACAAGATTATGACAGCCTTGGCCCTCACTTGTACTTTGAATTTTTAAACAAATAAGTAGCTTGCAGTAAGTTTAATGAAGCTTAAAATGTTTATTCAAGTGAAGAAATAAATTCCTAAAAATACAGACAGATTAATAAATTCGCTGACTCCAGTTCTATTGCTGTCCAAGCCTTCCTTTCTGTGCACATTGCTTAAGAAGACATGAAATTAGGTTTTAGGTTGGGGCGCTGGATTGAAGTTTATCTAGAACTGTGTCCATAGAGATGCAGTATGTATGCATGTGTGAATTTTACCTAGATTTTCCTTGCTTCCTTCTTGCTCCCCTGCCCCCGCCCCCTTGCCTCCCTGCCTGGTGATGGAGCTTAGCTACACCTCTAGCCTTTATTAAAATTTGAGGCAGCGTCTTGCTGAGTTGTCCAGGCTGAGCTTGAGCTTGTCATCCTCCTGTCTCTGCCTTCGAGAGCTCTAGAAATACAGTTGTGCGCCTCTGCGCCTGGCTGGATTCACGGTGTTAACATTCAGCCTTACTGAGCTGGGGGTTTAGCTCAGCGGCATAAGCACCTGCCTTGCAAGCAGGCGGTCGTGAGTTCGATCCCCGGTACCGATAAAAATGAAAAAGACAAAAAAAAAAAAAAAAAAAAATTCAGCCTTACTGGCTTCAGTGTTTACTCTCCCTACACACTTATCTTTTTCTGAGCTGTGGAAGTTGTGCCTTTTAACTGCATAGACCTTATCTCCTAAGAGCAAGGACGTTCTGTGTGACCACAGCACAATTATGTAAGTCAGAGATTTGTTTTATTTTTCAATCAGAAATTTAACACATCCATTTAACGAATCTGCAGTCCATATTCAAACGTTCTCAGTTGTTCCTGGAACACTTTTGCAGCTATTTTTTTTCTCTGCTGGTATCTAGACCACAGGGGATTTTTGTGATCATGTCTTCATCTAAATTCAGCTACTCATTCGCCTCTTTCTACGTGTGTCATCAGCTGTTTGGGAAGGTCACAGGCCAGGTGCGCCGCAGACGGTCTTGCTGTGGGCACCTCCCCGTGTTCCTGGCGATCTCTTCTGGTTCCCCATTTGCGGCTGAGACCCATAGAAGAGCTCTTATGTCCTCACCACACACTGGCAGGGGTGTCCAACATGGTTTGTCCTCTTGGTATCTATGAGATTTCCCCAAAAACAGATCACTCGTCTCTGGTTAGTAAGTGATTTATGGGAGGGTATTTGGAATCCTGTGTTCTTCATCACACTAATTACATGTAAAGACTAGTGGAATTACTTACGGGGAAGGTGATTTATCATTTATGTTTATAAACTGCCCCCACCACCAAGAAACAAACAAAAGACAAAAAAAATACTGAAAATATAAGCAAAGCTGTGCCAAAAAGTGCATTTTTAAGTCAAAATCAATAGGTGAACGATATATATTCTGAAAATCCTGAGGATAACAAACATATTTTGAGAATCTGGGCAAGTGTGCTTTTTTTGGAAGCTAGGAAGAGAATTCTCTGCCCAGGATATAGCGAATTCAACTTGTACAATTTTCTTTTCCCTGCCCTGTCCAGTTTGTTTATGTCTTGCTATTTTTGACCAGTACGGCCCTTTGGCTACATATGCATTTAATCTAATAGCCAGCCCGCGAACCACACAGCCTGATTATGCTCAGAAAGATGTCATACAACAACCCAAAGAAGCATTACCTGTGATGGTTCTGCTCAGCAGAATGGTCCCCAGGAGAAAATAAACTAGTGGCTTCCCTCTAGCGAGGTGAGAGGCTGAAGGCATTTTAAGTGTCTGAGAAATGAAACTGGAAGCATAGGGAATGTGAGGAGTTAGGGTGGTTTTGTAGAAGGGAGAGACCCTCTCATCAGGGAGTGTAGAGGAAAGCTTGAGGCTGGATCACTCCTGTTTCCTTCTTCCAGTTTAAAACCAGCTTTTGAGGTTGGAAGGCTGAGATTGAAAGCCCAAGGTTGATGCAAAAATCCTTAGCACTTTAATAATCACAGCTGGCAAGCTTTCTGTTATGGAATATGTTAGGGAAAATACTCCTGTATTTTAGATGCATTTAAATCTAAGGCAGTGTTCCCTCTTTGGTAAGGAAATATACATTCAAATTAAGGCTCCAGCTGTCTTAACCTCCATTAAGTCATCCCCAGTTCTTCCAGCAGTTCATTCAGCAGACATAGATTGTTTTCCATGAGCAAAATTCTTGTGGATACAGGGGTCAGTAAAAGGTTTTGTACAGGATTTTGTTGGTTACAAAAGATAGGAAAATGAGCCAAACTGGCCAAAGGGAAAACATCCCCAGATCTCTGGTATCACTGGAAAGTCCAAAGGCAAGGGCCAGCTCTGGTCTGCTTTGCTGCACAGGGTTCACCTAGTAGGTGCCAGGACTTTGCCCTTCTACTTCTGCTTGGTGATCATGACACAGCAGCTGCAGTTCTGATCTGCTCCTCTTCGTATGTGCTGCCAGGTTCCAGAAGGGTCTGCACCTTGGTTCTCCCAGCCAGGATTCTTGACGTGCTCTGATGGGGCCGTCTCAGAGCAGGTGCCCACTGGGACAGGTTGCTTGGCAAGAATGAAAGCCCTCTTCTGAGCTGGGTGCAGGGTCCCACACGTCTATGCAAGGTGGAAATCTGAGTAGATTGCCAGAAAATTCTTTCTGTTGCTCTCATGCAGCTTACAGCCTAGTCCAGGAGGCAGACAATCAGTAGATGGTTGCAGTGTATCAGGTAAATGCGTAGAGTCCAGACTGGAAGATGGGAGAGCACATTGGAGCTGACATATGAATGATAGGGTAGGAGTAAATCAAGACAGGACTTTAGGAGAGAGATGAGAAATTGTGGGCATTGGAGGGGGCATTTATTGTTTGACTTTTTTTTTTTTTTGGTCTTTTTCCTTTTTTTATCGGTACCAGGGATCGAACTCACGACTGCCTGCTTGCAAGGCAGGCACTTATGCCGCTGAGCTAAATCCCCAGCCCCTCGTTTGACTTTTTAAGAACAGTGACAGTCACAAGAATGAACCTTCAGTATGGTAGCCTGTAGAAGCGGCAGTTTTAGCAAGTGGTCACAAGAGGGCGCCTATGGAAAAGTCCCTTCCTCCCCTCCAGGGCAGCAACTGCCCTCAGGGGTTAGCTCCTCAGTGCCTGGGAAGCTGGTTTGTGACAGACTGCAGGTGAATGTGTAGACCACAGGTGCGCAATACTGCTGGATTCCACCCCTGGGGGGCTCAAGGTCTTAGCGTCTTCCCTTGTCTACCATCCATCCATCTTCAGGGATGATACTCAGCAAGTGTTGGCTAAACAGAAGACGGAATTGACAGCCATAGAAAAATGCTCTACATCCAGCATACCTGATGGATACTGGTAAGATTTTCTCAGAGCAACATTGGCAAATACGTCACTCAATCATCCTGAACGTGTTAACCATCGGTTCTCTTCTGGAGACTTGTGGAAACTGAATCAGCACATGCTTGAGGTCTCTGGAATGAGGGAAGTCAGCCTGGAGATACGGGCTGATATCTCCACTGGAGAATGAACTCGTGGCTGTGTTGAACCATCTGACAACTAAGTTAATGGCCACATTAAAGGAAATCATGAGAGGCCAGGCATCCAGGTAACCCCTGCTATTTGGGAGATTGAGGCTGGAGCAATTCAAATTGGAGGCCAGACTGAGGAGCTTAGACCTTAGTTTTCAAACATGGCCATCCCACGACACCACGGGACCAGTGCTAGAAGAAGCCAGGGCTTGGTAACTGGCCCTGTTCTGTCGGTTTTTTCTCTCTTCTTTGTCTTTTTTATTCTTCTTCCTTTTTTTTTTTCTTTCTCTTTTCTAAATGGCTGGGGAGAACTCCAGACACAGAAACTAATCCCATTCCGCATCCCAGAGACCAAGTTCAGATAATCCCTAGAATGTTCCTTCATGTGCTTTTCCCTCCCCCCTTCTCTAGTTTCCCAAACCTTGTGTGACCATCCTTTGTCCTCCAGCCTTGCTTTTACTTCCTTCCTGGTTATCTAGTTTATACACTACCATCCCTAAATTTCCCTGCCACAGGATAGAACCACTCTACCAAGGAAAAACCCTGCATACAGACTCCTAATGTATGACTGGCTCTGTTCTGTAACTTTGGTCTTAGGTACAAAATCAATAGTTAACCCTAGTTTGTCAGTTTCTAAATTGTGTGTGATATTATTGTTATTGCCAGTTTTACTGCTTTAGCTGGGATGCCATTCCTATTGTAATCAGTTTTACCTTTTGTAGCAATACTGGGAAGCTCTGGGGTAATGACCTCACCACAGCCCTACAACAGAGGACTTTGGACTGAGCCAAAAGATACCGACATTCCACCCTTACCGAAATGGGAAGATAGGATCTTGGGACAAACACAAACCAAGAATTTCCTACAAACAAGACATCCCCAAAGAACAGACTTTTCCTAGAGAGGCTAGTGATATAGCTTCCTACTATAAAAACTCACAAGGATCATGAAAGAAAACAAAATACAAATTTTTTGAAATAGAAAATGCCAAGATGAAAAAGCAAAATTCGGTCTCATCTCCAGCCTACCCAGAACAAACCCAGGAGGCATCAATGTAGAAGTTGGAAAATACACATCTAAAATTTCTGAAATGATATCAACCAAAGTAAAAAATCTGTGAGGCTACAGAGGAAATAAGATAAAAAAAATCTCTAGGTAAAAAAGGTCAACATTTATAAAGTAATTTCTCAGCAAATCTGGGGTATAAATAGATTTAAAAAATAGATGATGATAAGAGGATGGAAACTGAATGATCAATATAGGAAAGAAATAGAATGCATGAACCAGATTCAAACATATCCAGACAACTAAAAATTCCATTGACAGCTGGCAAAATCACTTGAACAAACCTGAAGACAAACTTTCAGACATTAAAATCAGAGTTATGACTAACAGTAATGAAAGACCTCTTGAAAACAACAAAAGGTCAGGAAATAATTCATCTGCTTTAAGGTGAAGCAAAAAAAAATAAGAATAATTGATGTCAAAAAAGCAGGAGTAACACAGATATCACAGACACACACACACACACACACACACACACACACACACACAATTTGCAAAGGTAATAGAAAATTTTCCAAATATAGGAAAACAATCTGACATACA